CATGTATTGACATGTGTCAACCTGTATGAGGTCAATGAGCCTACGCGTAATTACAAAAGCTTTCAGGCTTTTAAAATAGTAGTACACGTGTCGACTCATAGACTGAATGTGTCGACACATATAAATGATTTTTATGCAAAAATAAATTTTTAATGACAGGTGTCGACCTATATGAGGTCATTGTGTCGACACATAGTTACATAGCTTACATACTTTATTACTGAACTACATGTGTCGACTCATCCAACTGATTTTTATGCAGAAAACTATTTTGGATGCATGATACCTATTGACAACTTTTTCAAACATATTCTAGATGCATTCTAATATCCCTAATATAAAGGTGCCCATACTGACTCAGTGATACCGTTCAATATACAGAAAATATAACTACTTTATCCTAGTTTTAACATCAAAATATTTATCTAAGAGGAAAATGAATTCACATACTCCCCCCTTTTAGATGATGACAAAACTTCAAACACATGTGATGATGCTTTTCGTGTCTTCATAAAGGCTCCTCCTGAATTTGTGCATCCTGAACTTCATCTTTATCGCATATGATTTTCCCACTTTGACAACATCAAAAAGAGACAAAGAAAGCCATAAGAAGTATCATATATTACACAGATACAAATATACCACACAGAGGTGTTTTAAAAAAGTAAGAATGTACACTCACATATACCCATATATATATGGAATGACACAAGAGGATAAACATAAATAAGAGTCACCAATAAACAATGTTAAAGCAATATGTTGTACATTGTCATAAAGACAAATTAAAGCATAAAACATTGCTTGTACTTCAAGGAAGTGACATAGCTACTAAAGCATAATAATAAACACACAAACAAACCAAGAAAATGACATAAAATGCAAGAAACAAAATGCATGATTCGATATGCATGAAACCACAAGAACCAAAATCATCACACTCTAAATACCCCTATAACCTCTATGAAACAGTCTTCCACCACGATCCATATATCCACACATGTCTTAATAGAATTCCAAGCCTTCTTCATGATTCAGAATACCAAGAGTCATCATACTGTTAATTTTGGTCTGAATAGCAGCATTGTTGGAGCTTATGTAAATGTGATCAGAATAGTAGCATGTGAGGCAAAAGCATCAAAATTTGAATCTTGTGATGCCAAGTATTCCTGAACAAGTCTAAATCTTTCATCTTGAGAAGCCTCAAAACTTTTCCTCCAAAGTACATCTTCCTCATATCTCTCATCCTGCTTGAGCTACATATTTTGGAGCATTGCCATTAAGGATGACTCGTTTCCCAAGGAAGATCTACATGTTTGCCCTTGGTACCCACTATCATACTCCTTATATCTATCACATTGTTGCGGCCAGCTGTCTTGTGGCCATTGCCTCCATTCTTGATCAGCAGCAGCATCCATCCAAGCTTCTTCTTGCTCATAATCACCATCAACCATGTTCACATCTTCTTCATTTACACCACCAATGGGTTGCTCATCAAACATGGGAGCCTCTGTGTTAACCTCAAATTTAGTAGGATCATCAAAATTAAAGATCTTTTTGCGAGTACCCACCATGCAGAGGAAATACACATTTGAGATCTTATCCCAAAAGTACCCCATGTGAGTCAAGGTACTTTGATCAAATTGTTGAGCAGTTCATAGAGAGGTGAAACGAATATTTGGAACATCAATATTGACGTAGTTGATAATTTTGGTAACCATGGAAGCATAACAAAAAGAAGAGGCTTGTTAGCTTTCTTTATGACGAACATGTAAGTGACAAAGTAGTATGCCCAATTGATCATAATTTTATGAAGAATTAGGTACATGATGCGAACCTCTATTTGGTCAACTCTTGAATGTCCACCATTATTTGGACGTAGGATATGAGATACAATCCAATGCAAGATGTAGTTCTTTGGCCAGTTGTAATGCTATTATAATTGTTATCAGCCCGATGAGCTTTTAACAATTCATTAGAGTGAATTCTCCAACAAAATTGGTCATGAATATTTGTGTCCAATATCTTAGGAAATTCAATTCCATCATCATCAGTTGTCGCAATACAAAACAATGATTTCCACATATTACTAGTAAACTCATAATCATTACCTCTCATTCTGAACATAAATTCACGTCCACGATGTTTATCCAACCCAGCATAGAAAACCCGAATGAGATCCCCATTGTAATCTTGTGGCAGTTGCAGAAAGTAGTTCATTCCTTTATGTTCAATGTGATTTACCAATTCATGAATATGGATTTCTTCAACCAAACTTGGATTGTACACACGTTGTTTCATCACAAGCCTATTTTTGCACTTTTCATCAAAGAATGTGACATCCTTTTCATCAATTAAGGCCAAAACATTTTTCAGGTTCATGGGATGAAGAAGGAGCCTTACCCTTGCACTTGAAATTCTCTTTGTTCCTTGTAACCCTTGGAGGCATGGTGAAATTTGAGAACTTGGCTTGCACAATAGGTGTTTGATGAAATTTTTGAATGAGACAACTTGTTGTTTGAGAGAATTATGATTTGCCATATACCTCGGATGCTAAAAAATGATGTAACAACACACAAAAATGACAATGCAACAACAAATGAATGCAAATTCATGAATTTTAGGACGTGGGTGTGCTTGAGAAAGTGAAAGAATAAGGGTTTTATAGAAGAGGAATTTTAGTGAGGTTTTAATGACTAGTTGGTAAAAGTGAAGTCAAATGATTTGTAATGGGATATTAAATAGGTTTAGTGGGGAATTAAATGTGTGGGATGAAGTGAATCAAGATGAGATTGGAGTTTGAGAGGTTTAGGAGGGGTTCATGAATGAGAAGACAATGAGGGATATGAAGTAATAAACAAAAATCTAAAAAATTTCACAATTAACACTTACGTGTCGTCCTATATGGACTCATGTGTCGATGCATACGACCAATGTTTTGGCACATACTGAACTGAAAATAAAAAATTGAAATATTGACACATGTGTTGACACATACTGAACCAAAAAGGAATTATTTTATTTAATTAAATACGTGTCGACCTATACATATCATTTGTTGACACGTGATACGCAAAAAGCAATAGCATGTTGGGAAACAAGATTTTTGGTTGGTTTTAAGTGATAGGCTTTGACTCATGCATGACTTGTTATGAAATGCACATGTAAATGAGCAAGTTTCATTGTTTGATGATAATAAACAGAATACACACATATGCAAGCAAAGATATCTAGGTATACATGCCATGAAATTAGAATGAGGTCACTATAAGCATGTAAATTGAAAACACGCAAGAGTTGTCAATTAGAAATTTTTGGAAATTAACACTTATAACATATATCACACATCAAGTATATCACATACCTTTGAAAAATAAACAGGTAAAAGAAGGACTAACTATTGTACCCCAAAATTTCTCTTATTCTCTTAACCTTATTTGTCTTTTGCTTCTCATTCATATTATGCATACTCCATTAGGTCATATTGCTCTACAATCATTCATTTCATGAGCTCCTAAGGCACAGGATTAAGATTTTTCTTGTGATTTTGTTTTTCCCTATTCAAAGGTGATTCATTTGGATATTTCACTCAATTTAGCAAGGGTTTGAATTCACATCATCATGAGCCCATCTCTTTATTAAGATTCATCAATATATAAGATCATCTTCATCAAGATTTTTCAAGACATCAAATGCTAGGGTTTTTCCATTTTTCAAATGAGAGTTATTGGAATTAGGGTTGTGTTGATTCTCAACATCTCAAGTCATTTTCTTCCTTTCTTCATCAATGTATATCTCAGAGAAAAGATTAAGGTTTCACATTCATTGGTGTGTGAGCATGTGCATTAAGTGAATACCATGAGGCTAGGGTTTCCTCTTCATCAAATAATTCTTCAAGGCATTGTCTTGTGTTGAAGTCATCATAATAAAATGGATTATGTCAGGACTTTATGGATATAATTGCAAAACCTCAAGCCATGGTACAAGAGATAGGAGGCAAGAGATTTGCATATTTAAATTAGGGTTTCGTTGAGGATGATTTGAAGATTCATTTTTTGGCATACAAGCTACATGTTTCAAGGCCTTATTCAAGTTTTATTCAAGTATAACTCAAGTCATGATTCAAGGCATAGTTCAAGTCAATTCAATAGAATTAATCATTTCAAGTGCAAAAAAGGCATTCATCATGATTTAAGGTCCATTTATTCAAGGACATTCAAAGAATACATAAAAATGCAAGTTCAAAGTTTTAAATTCAAATTCAAATTCAAATATTCAATGTCCATTCCATTCAAAATTCAATTTTCAAATATTTAATTCAAGTTGAAACCAAATCCACATAAACCTATTTTTGATAAAGCCTTTTGATCCAAAACTTGTCCAAAGGAATTATACAATTTGCCTTGATCATGTTTGCTACCAAAAGTTTTCCAAAAAGAATGAAATATTTGTTTTATTCAAGTGATATAAAGCAGTTCCAAACTTATCCACAATACATGACCATAATCTGTTTTGTACTATACCAAATACAGCCTGGCATCATGACCCAAATCACTCACAAACATTGCCAAAATAGAGCAAACATGCACCTTCCATATACATGGCCAAAAGCTTATGAAATGGCCAAAATAGGAAAAGAAAACTTGTGAATCAACTTGCTCAACAAGTTTTACTTTGTCTCATTATCTGAACCAAGGGAATTTAATCCAAGCCAAATACAACTGAAACACGAGCCAAAGCCTTGTGATCTAACCCTGAATTTGAACCTGCCATTCAAGTGCAAATTGGTTCTAACAAATTTCCAAAGCTAAAATAACCAACTCCAAAGCTTGGCTTAGGTTCGAAGCCTCATCTCTAGCATAAACTTGAGCTCTAATATAAATACATTTCGCTCAAATTCGCTTCATTCATCAACACTTTCAAAAACTCTCCAAAACTCACTCTCTCAATTCAGATCTTCGAATTCCATTTTTCTCTCAAATTCTTTGGTTGCTCTTGCTTCATCCTTTCATCAACATGTTATAACAAAGCTTCTGTATGCATCTACCAGTCCTCAAAGCTTCCAATTCGCTCTGTGTAAAGTCTTGAATCTCACAATATAGATGGAGATGGTTAGATAGATCTAGAAGGATTCTAAGCAAATTGATCATACCTACACACTCCTGGAACTTCAGTGAAGTTTCTCCCATCATTTTCATATCTTATTCTTGCTAAGAAGAAGCATCAGACTTGAATGGCAGGTTCAGATTCAAGTCTTATTTCTTAACATACTATTTCTTTTTGCGTATCATGTGTCAACAAATGATATGTATAGGTCGACACATATTTAATTAAATCAAATAATTCCTTTTTGGTTTAGTATGTATCGACACATGTGTCAATATTTTAATTTTTATTTTCAATTCAGTATGTGTCGACACATTGGCTGTATGCATCGACACATGAGTCCACATAGGTCGGCACGCAAGTGTTAATTGTGAAACTTTTCAGATTTTGGTTTATTACTTCATACATTTGATGTCATTGTTCCTCCTTTACCGTCAGTACTGCAACATATGTCATTCCTATACTAAGACGACATGTAGAATGGCCATCTGAGGAGTGTATTCCTCCAACTCTCTCGTAACTATTTTCTTTCTCCCAATTGCCACAATGCAGTGACATATCGGTAACACGTCAATGACATGCTTCGCCCTTGCATATTCCTCTTCGAAGATCTCTTGATGCTCTTGCCTCAGAGGATCTCCTTTGGCATATAGTGTCATGTAATTATGTGACACACTGTAAAAACCATTGGATGTAGTCGTATATCATACTCCATGGATGAGGAGCTGACACATGATGTACATCCTCTAGGATCACATCATCATAGTACTATGTGACAATCTCATCGACATCCATGTGAAGTATATTGAGAGGAGCAACAATGGTGGGGTCTCACTCAGATAGATGAGGGTAAATAAGTTGTGACTCACATGTAAGTCATCTAGAGTACAAGGTTATACCCTCCAAAGGTTGTGTCTCACGGTGATCGACATACGATATCCAACAAATATCATTTGACACGATGCATTAAAGAGAAATTTGGAACGGCCTGGTCGCTTGATTCTCTTTGAGCGGGATGATTGAGCAGTCGTGTGGAAAATCCTCAGAGTAGTCTTGCACATATGCTCTACCGATGAGACATGAAAAATACTTGTGGATCCATGCTTGAAAATGGTTTAGATGAAACGTTAAGTGCAACATTACCATTATGACGTTAGTATCAGTAAAGGTGAAAAAATTATCGTAAATAGAAAATTGTTTCCTGTAAATTATTTATTATTCCATATATTACCATAAACTAGTTTTGAGTAGAGGTACACCAAACAAGAAACTCTCTAATTATACTCGTGAATCCTCTCCAAGTCATTGAAATATCCGAGGTAGATAGCATGAACATAAGTTGCACTTTTGTGCACAAAAATAGACGTGTGGACCAAAATTAAGAGGTGTGATATCAACACACATGCTCTATGATATGTAACTCGTGCATTATCACCATCAACATCCATAGCAACAACCAGGCGCTGTTAACATAGATTGACCAATAATGAAAACCTAGCATGACATCCTCTAATGTCATCCATCTCCTGTTGGGCTTTTCCCGAGTCAACTCCAAAATAAGTTATCATCATGCTCAGTTCCTAAGATCTACTAGTAAAAAAAGGTTTAATAATTTTACTAGATTGGAAGATGTAGGAGGCATGATACATCATCAAGTGTGACAGATATATCACATATCAGAAGATGAAATGACGACGTCTCTGCGTGTCATCTCTCTATAAATCATGGTTAATATAAACATATCCACTCCTACATAAAAGAAGACAATAAGTCATGGTTAATATAAACATATACACTCCTACATAAATCATGATTCCCAGATAGATGCATGACATCCTTAAACCATGGCTCATCAGACTCTGCCAACTTTACAACATTCATCCCGTGACTAATACATTTTAACGTACAACGATAAGGAAAAATAAAATACATTCACCGTCAGACAACTCAAATATTATAACATAGATGTTTAAAATAATATTTAAAGATTTATATCATCTCTCCCTCCCACATGTGCCCAGAAGCATGGTCTGGGCACAAAGGAAGCAGTGAATGGTCTGATGAGACTCCCGAGAAACCATCATGTGCATCACCATCTTGGGCATCTGGGGCAGGAGAGACTTCAGGGGAAGAAGAAGCTTCTGAGGCAGTAGGGGACACATCAATATAGGAAGAAGTTATCATAGATACATGAACTCGAGATGACGATCCCTCACCAGTAAAAGAAGTTTATCCAATTGTAGGACACAGGGGTCTAGCTTTCTCCATGCGAACGGAAGCATGTTGGGTCACTTTACCATTTCTCAATCTTTTTTGGTTGTTAGACATTTTTCTTGTAATCAAACAAGCACGACAGAGAGATGTCATAACAAAATTCCAAAACAATTCAAACCAAAAATTAGATAATAGATAATTCCGAATTCGAGTCTTCAGACTAAGGGTCTCGATTATGAAATCCAGACTTCACTTAAACAGAAAGATAAACCAGAGAACATAGCATGCACGAACCTTACGCTCTAGTGTTCAAAAACCTAAAGCAAGGCAATTCAAGACAAACACAAACGACATATCTATTGTATTTAAGCTCAAAGTATCATACATATAAACTATTTAGGTAATGCATGCATGTGAAATAAAAAAATGAAAGGGAATGAGCAACTCACCAATTCAATGGAGTAGAACTCCAGATACGTGCAATGTAGTGGAATAGAGACGTGGTAAGCTTCAATGAAATGGATGGAAGTTGTGAGCAGGCCTGACCCTGTGCAGGAGCAGCAGGTTCTACAACACAAGGGCCCAAATTTTGGAGGGCCCCTAAATCTTGAAAAGTATAATTTTTTTTACATTAACATTAATAAACATAAAAAAAATGTTATAAAAAAATTCAATAAATAAAAAAAAAACTATGATAAAGATCCAATACATTAAAAAAATGAGATTGATCAAAGTCAAAATAATTATAATTAAATGTTTTTTATCAATATATAATATATTTTTGATTTGTCATTTTTAATTATTATAATTATATTTTTTAAAATTTAGATCATTTTTTAAATTAGAACGGAGTATCCTATTTGATTGGGCTGGCCCTGGCCATAAAAATTCTTGAAAAATGATGTGACAAACTCTGTAAACACAAATGAGGAAAAGTTCTCAATTCTCTGTTTATTTCTCTTTTACATAAATGAATATGGGAAGGGGAAGAGAACAACATAAGCTTACTTTAAAAAAAAACGTGCGGATTTCAATCTCCATAAGAAATCTCGATTTTTAAATCTGTAATAATTTTAAATTGTGAAGTCGTAAGGTTGGCCATAAGTATGATGTGTTAGGCGTGTTTGGAGATCAATCTCCTTAATTTACTATATGGATGCTGCAATCCAAAGTTTTTTAATATTTAACTTTGGTGTGCTCTAAAAATGACTTGCTGTTTATTAACTGCGTCTAGATTTTAGAATTCAAATTTGAGAGTTATTGTTAAAAAATTTATAGGATGTGTGAGTAACTTATGGAGTGTATTGAACAATCATCAATCCCCAATCAGCAAACCTTCATATTCCACCATACCAAACTTGTGACTCAACATAAATAAGCTTCCATGTGATAGTTTTTTATTTTAGCAGCGCACGACAACATACATATGCAGCGAACCAAGTTTTTATACAGTATATTCTCAACAAGCAATATATAATAATCACAAAGTGAACATTTATTGATGTTTTCAACAGCAGTAAAACATTTTATTCTACTAAGTGGAATATCGCGACCGATTAAAAGTGGACAATATTTTTCTCCCTGAAGCTTTCCACAGTTTCCTTGAGACTGACTTCCAAAGGAATAAAGTCTATTCCCAAACTGTTAGCCTTTTCCTTGGAAATCTGATACAGTGGCATGTATGGCTCATCATCCTCGCACCTAATAAAATTATAGAGAGTGCATGTTAATAAAAATAAATAAATAAAGAAGTAAAAAAAGTTAACCATTTAAATCATTGAAGGTATATCAAATGAACTTACTTGTCTGAAATTTGTAATGTTGGGTATAGATTATGTAAAATCTTAGCAAATTCTGAACAGTGTACCACTCTCTCAGACAAACAATATCTTCCACTAGCCGAAGTAATCTCATATGCGTGAATATGTGCCTCCGCAACATCTTTCACATTGACCCATCCATAATTTTTATTTCGAAAAGGTAAACCTGCATTCAACAATTCCGGGAGTTGTTCTATTATGCAACAAGACAATTCTTTTTTGAAATAAATATGACACAAATTGCAAAAGTTAACTATTATTAATCAATCAAAGCAACAAACAAATACATTAATCAATCAGTACTAGTAATCATTAGCAGTGCATCAGAAGATTCATTAGTCATAAACCACACTAATCTTATATAATATCAGTACAAACTACTAATATCACAAAACAATTATCAATCAAGTTTTATGCCCTAAATAAAAATTACCATTTATTATGTCTAGAATTGGTTGAACACTTTCGTTAACTTCCGGTTGTAAGAGAGGTCCAGCAACCATTGTTGGGTTAATAACAACCATGTCAATCTTGTTTTCATTTGCAAACTCCCATGCACCAGCCTCAGCCAAAGTTTTTGAAAGCATGTACCATAACTGATAATTCAAACAGAAGTTGGCAAGAAAAAAATGTGCCAGCTTCAGGCTCTCATTCTGAATAATTTTTAGAAAGAAAAAAAAATGCTAACCTGTAATTCCCTACAGAAATTTGGATCTGAAAACCATGTCTCATCAACTATGACTTCGGGATTTTTCGGCCTTGTGTTAAATAAAACTGCAGCAGTAGAAGAAGTAAAGACAACTCGTTTCACAGATGGTGATTTCGCACATGATTTAAGAACATTAAGAGTTCCCTTCACTGCCGGATCAATCAACTCAGCCTGAGATAAAGATCAAAAGTTAACAGTGCATATACTGGCAACTGGTCTGTTTTGCAAAGCACACCACATTCAACAATATGATAGAATTAACCTGAGGGTCATCTACGACAAAACGAGCAGGTGAAGCAGTATGAAAGACACCATCACAACCTTCAATAGCAGAGTCAAAGGAACCTTGTTCCAAAAGATCAGCCTTAAAGAGTTGCAACCTCTCCTTTGCACCATCAATTTTAATCAAGTGGTCAACCTTTTTAGGATTACCTGCTTGCACACCAATAAGACCACTCATTCATAAGGGTGATCATATAACCGAAACAAAAAGAACATGAATGTTGATAAATTTATTACATAAAAAGAAAAAAGTTGAAGGAAAAAGATGCACAGACTTGGATCACGAACAGTAGCTCTGACGGTGTAACCACGCTGAAGGAGGAACTTGACAATCCATGAAGCAATATAACCAGAAGCACCTGTCACGCACACCACCTTTCCTTCCCCACTCATCATCCTTGTTCTCCTTTTCCTTCAAAAACTTTGGAATTCCCTTGACTGTTATGTTAAAAGATGAATACTGACTTGTATTTCCTTGAACCTCTACAACTACTTCTAATTGGAATCACCCCTTTAAACTATGACATTAAAAACAGAAGGTGATTCAACTATTATTAATTGCCTCAAACTATGTTGAAAGTAGGAATAATTCTGGTAACATAGTTCACATGACAATTTATTATACTTTAGCACATGGTGTATCAGTAATTCAGTTTTTTCTTTCTATTTTTATTTGACTTCAGCAATTATAAAATAAAAGTCAGCACCAACCGAAATTCATAACGAAATTGATTATCTAGAAGAGGAAAAAACACATTTAAAATCCAAAATTGGTGATAAAGTGAAATACAAGTTTTTTGGTTTCACTAATGTAGTGTGAAGCCATAAAAGGAAATCTATTTAGTTTGTTTAGTTTCCACTTCGGTTATGGTTATCAATTATCCTCAGTAGATTACTAGTATACGTTATTGCTTGTAGAAGCAAATTTAGGAAAAGTTTAACAATTGATGACTGAAAATCTCTTAATACGTCAAAATTATTAACAGCTACTTCATGTTGAGGAAACTAAGTGTTTGTTTGTTTCAATTTTTAAAAAATAAATTTTTTTTATATTTTTTAAAATAGATTTTACAAAACTGTTTTTTAAAATATTATAAAAAAAATTTATTCCTTAACATATATTATTAAAGATTAACACATAATCTCAATTTTAAAAAAAAAATTGTATTTTAAAAATAAATTTATGAAAATCTATTTAAAATAATTTCTAAATTAAATAATTTTTTTAAATTTTGATATCAAAAAAAAGTTTCAATAAGAAGATGAAATACTTAAAATAACATCTAAAAAATAACTATTCAAACCAAAATTTCATTTGAAAAGTTTCTTTATAAATGTTTTTACACAAACTCATAGATTTTACATTATTTTTTGAAAATAGGTTTAAAAGCATAGATTTTATACTTATTTTTTTAAAATAGGTGTATGAGCATAATTTTTTATACATAAACTTATGATTTTATATTGGAATTTTTAAAAAAACTGATGTAAAAGTTTTTTTTTTTCAAAAAAATTAGGATTTTATATTAGATTTTTTTTTTAAAATATCGGTGTAAAATCATATTTTTTATATCGGATATATTAAATATCTAATATCTAATATCAAATATCTAATTTTAAAATAAAAAAAAAATCGATAGTGTTAACTTTTTTTTTACCGAATATGAACTATCAATTTTTTAAAAAAATCTAAAAAATTACATTGTTAGTGCGTGAAATATTTTTAGTGAGGAGCGGAAAATAGAATAAGAAAATAAGGATTGTATTATTGAATTGAATTGTTACAAATAATGATACAAACTTTATATAACTATTTATATACACCTAACTTATACATTAAGTATAATAACAAATCCTAATTGAGCTTTTGGGCTTAGGTTACACAACTTGGATTAGGTCTAATATCTCAACATACCCTCCATAATTCAAGTTGTCGAACATACTCTAAAAATAATCAATCTGAACTATTCCTAATTTCTTTCTCAAATTCAGGAATCTATTGATCTTCAATCCTTTGGTGAAAATATCAGTCAACTATGTTTCACTTGAGCAGTGCCTAACTTTAAGTTTACCTCGATTTACCTTTTCCATCAAGAAGTAGAATCTAGCTTCAATATGCTTATTTCTTCCATGTAGAACTGGATTTTTCGCCAGATTTATGGCTGACTTGTTGTTGATTTGCAACACAAGAGGTTTCTTCATTTCGACCTCCATTTCGTCAAGTACTGGTTTGATCCAAATTACTTGACATGCAGCATAGGATCCTATTATATATTCACCTTCACACGATGATAATGTCACCACAAGTTGCTTTTTTGAGCACCATGTTGGGGCACCAAATATTTGAAAGAAATATCTAGTTGTGCTTCTTCGATCTTCCTTATCTCCACACCAATAAACATCTGAAAAACAAGTAACTGATTGTTGTAACCCAAAATTTCCCTCCCTTTTCTTCAAGACATTCTCCTAGGGTACTCAAATGCTCAAGAATTGATCAGGCAAATTCTTCTCCTAAGCAATGGGTCAACAACTAAGGTTTCATCTTTCACAAGTAAATTTGGGTTTCTAGGGTCTCAAATGGAATTCATGGTCTCTTATATGTCTCTAAGAATTCTCATGTCAAGTTTCAAGCCTTGTATCACAAGTTTGCTTAGTCAATTGCTCAGATGATTGAAAATCAACTATATTGGACAAAAAGTCAACTTGGTCAATTTACAGTCAAACTTCAAGATTTTTGGTCAACATCAATATTTTGAAGTCATATTCATCATTTGATCAAGGGTTGATCATGATTCATCAAGGAAAACTATCAAATCATCAAAAGTCAAAAGTTGCCAAATAGTGTTTTCCTCAAGAGAAGTCAACTGAACTTTGACCAAGCACAAATTTCACATGCTTCATCAGATTTTACTCAACCAAAGCTCATTTTGAAGGAAATTCAATTCTCTACAGCTTTGTCTCTCTAAGTTCAAGTCTAAAAAATGCTTCATTTGAGAGTTATGAGCCAATACATTATAGGTCATTTCAAAAGTCAACAAAAGACACTTTTTGACAAGGCAACTTACATCAAGATAAATTCTTGAAATACAAAAATGATCAACATAGATATTGTAGAGGACATCTTGAAATTTCTAAAAAGTCCAAGATCATCTTTAAATGATAAAGATTGAGAGAGTTATGACTAGTGCAAGTTGGGAAATTTTGAACAAATGCATGAAATTCAAATTGAGAAAACTTGAATTTTTGGGCTATTAGGCTATTGTTGCAGAGTCCAAACGTGTTTGATACTCCATATACACATCAAGATTTATTCATACACCTCTCTTTGGTTTATTATAGTTTTTTTATTATTTATTATTTTAAAAGTCAAAATAAGATAATATAAGACAAAGCTTATTACAAGAGTCCAAGCCCATAATATGTTGGCCTAGTTCCATGCTATATATTCTCCTCATTCATACAAACAAGAAACAAAACCTTTGCTAGAAACCACCTTCCAAAAACTTCAAAATTTGTCAAATTAGGGCAAACTCGAACTCTCTTATACAGCCATCCTCAAGGCCAAGCAATCATCCCAATCGATTCCTGAGGTGCCATAGAGTAAGCTTGGATTATTCTTGATGATCAAAGAGGCCTAAAACCTATATTCCATGTATCATCGTTTTACATGTTTTTGTGAATATCGTTTTTTCTAATTTTATGATGCTTTGACTTTAACTAACGTTTGCAATGTGTTTCTGAGGTAAAACGATACAGGTTTGATCCCTTGCATGAGTCTCATAATTCCATAATAACCTATCACCATGTTTGGACCGATTTACCTATTGTGTTCATATCACATTGTGAAGGACGATTTAGCCTAAACTAAGGCCACCAATAGATTCACAAGGATCAATTTAGAGGGATAGGGATCTTTTTGATCATTAACGCTTGTTTTTTTTCCAGATACAAAGAACACCTCACCAGAGAAGACGACCGGAGCTAGGAATCTGGCGCCTCTCCGGTCCACTTTTACATTATATTTAATTTGTTTCATTTGATACACAGATGAGGGCATAGTACCGCTGGTCAAGGTGAAGGCGTGTAACGTATGTGGCGTGGGTTCGATCCCTGCGTGCTACAAATAATTTTTGTTATTTTTCATATAACGTGCAGGTTCACAACATAACCATCATTGCATGTTTCCTAACACCAACGCGTGGTTGGCTCAGTGGTGAGGCGTGCTGTTGTACCCCAAAATTTGTCCTCTCTTTTCTCGAGATATTTCTTACAAAGATCTTCAACGTTTCAAGCTTACACAAGTATTGATTAGGTCAATCCTCTCTGGTCCACTTTTACATTATATTTAACCTGTTTCATTTGATACGCAGATGAGGGCGTAGTACCGCTGGTCAAGGCGAAGGCGTGTAACGTATGTGGCGTGGGTTTGATCCATGCGTTCTATAAATAATTTTTGTTATTTTTCATATAACGTGCAGGTTCACAACATAACCATCATTGCCTATTTCCTAACACCAACGCATGGTTGGCTCAGTGGTGAGGCGTGTTGTTGTACCCCAAAATTTTCCCTCTCTTTTCTCAAGATATTTCTCACAAAGATCTTCAATGTTTCAAGCTTACACAAGTATTGATTAGGTCAAGCCTCTCCGGTCCACTTTTACATTATATTTAATCTGTTTCATTTAATACACAGATGAGGGCGTAGTATCGCTGGTCAAGGCGAAGGCATGTAACGTATGTGGCGTGGGTTCGATCTCTGCGTGCTACAAATAATTTTTGTTATTTTTTATATAACATGCAGGTTTACAATATAACCATCATTTCCTTTTTCCTAACACCAACGCATGGTTGGCTCAGTGGTGAGGCGTGCTATTGTACCCCAAAATTTGCCCTCTCTTTTCTCAAGACATTTCTCACAAATATCTTCAATGTTTCAAGCTTACACGAGTATTGATTAGGTCAAGCCATCTCCTCAACACTGATACCTCAAATTAGGGTTTGAGTTTGCACAAGTACAATTTGACTTCTAATACTTCATATGACTTTCATGGATCATTATGGACCCTTAAGATTTCTCATGTCAGGTTTTAAGTCTTGGATCACAAAATTGTTCAGTCAATTGATCAGATTTACCCAAAATCAACTGTATTGGATAAAAAGTCAATTGTGATCAACCTACAGTCAAACTTCAAGATTTTTGACCAATATTAACATTTTGAAGTTATATGTATCAATTGATTAAGTTTGGATCACAATTCCCCAAGAAAAATGTTCAAATCATCAAAAGGGCAAAATGGTAAAAATTAGGGTTTTGACTGATTAAGGGTTTTTGACCTAACACATGATCTAATGGTTTGAAGCATGATCTTAAGGATTCAAACACAATGTATTGACCT